CATTCGAGTTTTGGCAATAAGCTGACGCATGTGCTGGAAACATTTCCCTGTGTATAACCCTTCTTGCACGCACACGTGGCTTTGCCTGCGGCTTCCCCCCATCCCAATAGCAGTAGCCGTGGTTGGAACAGGGCGGATTGGAGGGAGGGGAGAGGCCACAGAAGGTGGAGCATTGTGCAGAGGAGCGCTGCGAGTGGAGGGGGCATGGGATGGCGTTGGAGGGGAAGCAGTTGCTCTGCAGGGAGAGAGTGAGCGCTGATGACGTGCACATGGTGGTGGGGAGACTGCCAGCATAGAGGTAGTTGTCTCTCACGTTCCTGCGGATCGGACAAGAAGGAAATTGTGGACGAAAAGGGAAACTGTGAACGAAGCGAGATTGACAGGGCATTGCACGCACGGTGTCTTGGGTAGAGCGCCCGAATGGATTAGAGGTGGTTGTCATGTCGCTGACAGACCTTCACGATGCGAGTCGAGTTTTGAGGCGCCTCAAAACTTGTCGTGTCGCTGACAGAACTTCAGAATGTGCCGAAAGGCATGTGCAAGCATAAGAGACTCAACGATGATTGAGGAAGAAGGAACACCATGATTCATCTCGATCATCAGAGACGATGACTTTTGAGTCGCCTCGAAAGTAACCCTCATCATTAGGGACGCTGACCAACGTGAGAACAATCGTGACAGGCAAATCCTAAGGTGCTCCCGAGGGCTTGTTTTGAGGGCCTTAGGAGGGGGTATTGCTCACCCTCACAGCTTCCACAGTTGTGGGTGTATTGCTACAACAACGCAAATTGCTGACTGAGATCTATTTCTATTAACCAGTCTCTCTTGCCGTAAATTCCTTTACGAGTTGGACGTAATGCATGGATGCAGAAGCCTAGAGGTGATTCAGGACAACAGCTGCACTCACAGGGTTTTGAGGTTCGAAAGAATGCTTAAGCCTTTTGGCAGGGTACCAGTGAGGTAGTTTTGCGACAAATCCCTGCACGAGCCAGCCATCGACAGTACACGGGGGAACACTGGCCGCGATTAACATCTATGCAGTTCACGTGCAGCTATGAAAATGGTTGACACTGCTTGTCAATGGCGCAAACTTAATGAAGTATGCTGCAGGTGCAGTCTGCAACATGGGGAGGAGGAGCATGCACTCACAGCAACATGAGGAGGAGCATGCACTCACAGCAACATGAGGAGGAGCATGCACTCACAGCAACATGGGGAGGAGGAGCATGCACTCACAGCAACATGAGGAGGAGGAGCATGCACTCACAGCAACATGAGGAGGAGCATGCACTCACAGCAACATGGGGAGGAGGAGCATGCACTCACAGCAACATGAGGAGGAGCATGCAATCACAGCAACATGAGGAGGGGAGCATGCACTCACAGCAACATGAGGAGGAGGAGCATGCACTCACAGCAACATGAGGAGGAGCGTGCACTCACAGCACAGTCAAGCTCGCCAAGGCACTGATGGCGTCTGGAATGAATCCCCGGATGCCCAGCCCCGAGACATTGCTGCCATGCGAGGATGAGGAAGAACGAGTGGAAAGGGTAGACAGGTGAGAGGGGAAGCATCTGGGAGTAAACAGGTGATGCGTTGAAGCTAGCAACGGCGCGTAACGGGCAAGTAGCGGAAGGGGGAAGGAGGAAGGAAAAAGGAAAAGAATCCAGTCCATGAAGATCTTCAAGTTGTCTCAAAGACAGTAGTAACGGGGTGATGCTTCTTACAGCTGCATGACATGGTTGGTTGAATCGCATATGATGTTACTCATGCGCTCCCAAGCATTGTTGTTCTTCCATGTCCCAAAGCCATCAAAGCCCCCCCATGCAGCTGAGAGGGTTTCCAACGCAGCCCCTACAAAGAAGGAATCAATTCAGCACAAGACAGAAGCTGAATCAGCACCCATGCACAGCAGTGCTGGCTCTCGAAATCAGGATTCTTGGTGTTACAAGCTGAGAAAGCAGTGATCGTCCAACACGTGTCCCTCGTCGTGGGGAAGTACTTGACTGACCGGAGCTGACAACTGACAAGCATAAATCCTCACAGGGAAGCACCTCCACCAAGCAGCGCCTTACATTCCGAGGATGAAAGCAGGGAAGCACACGTTGCAGGATCCACTCCTTTCCCGTACCCCCCTCACACGCACACATGGCTGTGCGTGTGCCTTCCACCCAATCCCAGTAGCAGTGGCCGCGGTCGGCACAGGGCGGGGTGGAGGGAGAGAGGTGGCAGAAGGCAGAGCAATCGTCAGAGGGCCGCTGGGTGTGGACGAGGGCGCAGGGAATAGCGTTGGAGGGGAAGCAGTTGCTCTGCAGGGAGAGTGTGAGCGCTGATGAGGTGCACATGGTGGCGGGAAGAGTGCCAGAGTAGAGATAGTTGTTCCTCACGTCCCTGTCAGATATAAGGGATTCAAGGGATTTAAGGGATTCAAGGGATTTAAGGGATTTAAGGGAAGATTGGCAAAAGGAATGCAGCAGGGTGCGTGCTTGAATGGAGACTCATAGCAGGGGTGGTAATTGAAACCATTACTAAGAGCAGGGGGTTAAGACAAATAGGACCAAGAAACGGTTGTGGTTAAAAGTTTTAACTGTGACCGGATATCCTGAGACTGGTAAGTAGCCTCATTTTGAGGCCCGTGCTGAACTTTGGAAATAATAAAAAGTGTGAGATTGCTAGTGTGCACATTGCTACCAGAATCTGCTTTGATTAATGATTCTTCTCACAACGTCTGAAGGCGCTGAAGTTCAATGACTCTTCTCACAACGTCTGAAGGCGCTGAAGTTCAATGACTCTTCTCACAACGTCTGAAGGCGCTGAAGTTCAATGACTCTTCTCACAACGTCTGAAGGCGCTGAAGTTCAATGAAGGAGGGCGGAATCGACCCAGACAGCTGGTTGTAGGACAAGTCCCTGTGAGGGGGTGTGTGATGTGAGGGTATGGACGAAGAGGGGTGAAGCAGACGGAGGATAGAGGGCAGCAGCGGCAAGGGGCACGGCCAACGGAAATCAAAAGGAGAAAAATGAAAGCTGGCGAGTCAAAGTCGACATGTGGAGGAATCAAATCTGCCTAAACACAGAAGTGGCCCGGCTGGCACTATCACCACGCAGCACCATCTACTGGCGACGGTATTCGTGACTCACAGGGTGTGAAGGCTGAGTAGGGTGCTAAGACCCTGAGGGAATTCTCCTGATAAATCATTGTGTGACAGGTCTCTGCACATGCACAGGGCAATGGGGCGGTGAAGAATGGAGGACGGAGTAAAGAACAGGAAGGGGTTGAGAGAGGGTATTAGAGTAACATGTTGTTACACAAACCAGGAAAAACAAACGTGTGACACAGCGTCATGCAACAAAGGATGGCATGGCACATATCCTATGACGTACAGATGCGTGAGGCGAGAGAGCGCTGTCAAAATGGATGGGATGGTTCCACTCAGGGTTTGACTGGATAAGTCACTGCAACATCCACGAGGAGGGATAGGGTAGCGTTAGAGTGAGGGGGGGGGGAGAGGGGATGAAAATAAAATGTGGAGGAAAGAGAGAGGGGAGGAAGGGATGAGATGGTGGGGAGGGAGGGTACGTGTGTGTTCCACCCTCTATGCCTTGTATGCCTTGTCACCATCTAATCGTTTCGTTCTCAAAGCAACGCTCTCTTTGGTCTCCTTCACTTTTCAAACTTGAAAAAAAAAAGGGCTAAAGTTCCAAGAGAGGAAAACGGGTGGCCAGGAGGGAACAGAAAAGGCAGAGGGCAAGCAATGTATATGGATGGAACAGATTGGATTAGGCCAGGGGTGGCTCATTCTTGCACAGAACGATAGGAATCGTTCAATGAGGGGAAACAGTCACTAGCATTGTACACATCTCAACCTCATGCATAAAATATTACACACAGCATTCACCGCAGCAAGAAATATGTGCCATTCATAGATTACTCACAGCTTAACAATAAAATTCTCGCCATCGATTGAGGCGAAGCGCTCTTTGAGGGAGTCAATGGTTTCGGACTGCCACACGCTGTTAGGCGCTGAGCCCCAGAGCTGCAGCAGGCCGTTCAGCACCTCAACTGGCAGCGCAGCATGTTCAGAAGGGAACAACATTGCCTTGTGAGAAAAAGGAGAGGAAAAAAAAAAAAAAAAAAAAAAAAAACAACAACAACAACAACAACAACAACAACTGGCGGGGCATAGGTCGTTTGCACCAGGGCATATCCACTCAACCACCAAGAGGACGCACCCTGAGAGCTCTGCAGCGTGGAGACGCAGGACGTGCTTGACGAACCGTGCGTGTAACCACCCGCGCACTGGCACTGCATCTCGCCCTGCTCCCCCCACGGTATATTCAAGTTCTCTCCATAGCAGTACCCATGTCCGTCACAGGGGGATGGAGGAGGGCGCATCCATCCCGCAGAAGATATAACAATCCTGTAGCTGCGATTCGTCCAGCTGGCACAGCACACTGTCCGGGTCCAAGCAATTGCTAGCGACCGACACCTCGGCCTGATTACAGATGTGATCCCCAATGGTCCCAGATGTGAAGTAGTTGAACTTTAGGTTGCTGTGTGGGTGGGGGCGAGGACCAGTCGGGTGAGTGAGACGGAGGATCATGGGATGGGCGCCTTGATAGTGAGATGGGCGCCTTGATAGTGAGATGGGCGCCTTGATAGTGAGATGGGCGCCTTGATAGTGAGATGGGCGCCTTGATAGTGAGATGGGCGCCTTGATAGTGAGATGGGCGCCTTGATAGTGAGATGGGCGCCTTGATAGTGAGATGGGCGCCTTGATAGTGAGATGGGCGCCTTGATAGTGAGATGGGCGCCTTGATAGTGAGATGGCGCCTTGATAGTGAGATGGGCGCCTTGATAGTGAGATGGGCGCCTTGATAGTGAGATGGGCGCCTTGATAGTGAGATGGGCGCCTTGATAGTGAGATGGGCGCCTTGATAGTGAGATGGGCGCCTTGATAGTGAGATGGGCGCCTTGATAGTGAGATGGGCGCCTTGATAGTGAGATGGGCGCCTTGATAGTGAGATGGGCGCCTTGATAGTGAGATGGGCGTGTGCACTCACAAATATTCCAAGCCGCTCATGGTATCCGTTGTTGGGATCTTTCCCGCAAAGAAGTTGTGAGCGATGTCTCTGAAACGCACAGAAAAACACACACAAACAGAAGAACGCACGCTCAAAGCACGATCACAAGGAAACAGCAAGCTTACAAGGAAACAGCAAGCTTACATGCTAACAGCAAGCTCACAAGTAACTCAGCTGATCCAAGCGTTTGACGTCAGGAAAAGGGCCGAAGAAATTATTGTACCGGAGATCCCTGGAAGGGTGAGGATGCAGAGAGAAGAGGATCTAGAACACAGCGGCAGGTCCAGATGAAGAAGCAGCAGCAGCAGCAGTGACGATACAGATGAGAGTGAGAAAAAGTGGGTGGCCCTGCAAGCACCTGTTGCGGTGTGGCACAAAAGCCGCTGCACCAATTGCGCCAGTGCACTACACCTGGGCTGGGCGGAGGGCGGAGGGCAGCACTCAGCACCTGGGTGCCGGACAGCGCACTACACATGGGCGGAGGGCAGCACACAACACCTGGGCGCCGGACAGCGCACTACACGTAGGCTGGGCAGAGGGCGGAGGGCGGAGGGAGGAGGGCGGCACATCATGGAGGAAGGCCTTACAGATGCTTGAGCTGTGTCATCATGGATAAGGCTGCAGGTAGTGACCCCGACAGGCGTGAGTCGAGAAACACACTGCAAGGAAAATCCATGCTAGGATACACTGAGGGCATTTCCCTGGTTGTTCACAACTTAAAACGGATAACGCTAAGCGCAACTGTTGCCTGAACAGTGCCATGCCATATGTCTGGCAAGCAAGTGCTAGAGAAATTTCGACGAAATTAACACGCCCTCGTCCTCAAGAGTCTCGACACACGCAGAGATGCACTGGAGCAAGAGAGAAGAGCGAAGAGGGGTGAGGGAACGCACATGCTGGTGAGATCCCCAAGGTTGAAGAGCTCCGAAGGTATGCCACCAGTGAAAATACCTTTTGACAAGTCTCTGCACAGCCGTGGTGGAGGAAGGAAGAGGTATGTTTGGGCGCAAGAAATGCAGTTGAGGCACCTCGACGCAGAGTGGGGCCTCATAATACAGGCAGGAAATAGGTCTAAGCCAAAACAATAACGCTCAACATGTGCTTGATCAAAGCAGCCATGAAAACGGGAGTGGAGGGCTGGAGGAGTGGAGTGGAGAGGTCAGGCTAGGGGAGGGCAAGAAACGTGAAGGTTTACTTACATCTCAACGAGGCTGGTAAGCTGACTGACGGACTGTGGAATTGAACCAAACTCATCAAAGTGTCCCTCTATGCGTCTGTGGGATCCAGGCATGTTTTGCAATCCAGGGGTATAGGGGAAGAGAGAGAGAGAGAGAGAGAGAGAGAGAGAGAGAGAGAGAGAGAGAGAGAGAGAGAGAGAGAGAGAGAGAGAGAGAGAGAGAGAGAGAGAGAGAGAGAGAGAGAGAGAGAGAGCAGGTGATCGTGATGGACGAAGAGGAGCACATGGCCTCGCTTCGGCTCAGCATGGTCCAGCACATACGCATGTCGTGGGAGGAGCTGCATACATGATCGACAGTTTCCTCGTCCAGACTCTTGATCAACCGGGAGCACATGTTTTTTAACAGAGCAGGAACCGTATGATTGGCCAGCGAAGGCTAGAGAAGATCAATGAATACACAAGAAATGCCAAGGAGTGCTGGAACAGGAGAGACGAGCAACGTAGAGCACGGAAACGCACATGCGGGTGAGGTGTGTGAGGTCGAAGAGCGCTGACGGTATGCCCCCAGTGAGATCCAGCCTTGCCAACTCACTGCACCACAACCGGAGTGAAGGAAGGAAGGACGAGGCACACGGTTGAGGACGAAGCAAGCCATGTGGTTGAGGTGCCTTAAAAGCAGAGTGGAAAAAGGGAGCGTCATAGCACAGGCGACCAACAAGTCAAAGCAAAACCAATCAACTCTCAACCAGTACTTACTGAATGAAGCAATCATGAAAACAGGAGTGGAGGGGTGAAGGGGGTTTGGGGAGGGCAAGAGACGAGTAGGATACTTACAGTTCAACAAGGTTGGTGAGCTGACTGATGGACGCTGGAAAAGAAAAAGACGAGTAGTCTTCGGTCCTTATGACTCTGGTGCGCCAAGACATGGTTTTTGCAACCAGGGGGAAGAAGAGGAGGACAGTAGGGAGAGGAGGTAGGGGCGTGGATTGGAAGAAGTGCGAGAGGGGACACACATAGATGGCATCCATGTGGCATGATGCTGCAGATGTGCATACATGGCATGGCATGCACTTTGCATGGGAGGAAGGACACACAAGATAGACAGCTCTCCTTGACATACCCCCAATCAAGTGGGAGCCATACGCGCTTTAAACACCCTCGAGAAATGCAGAGGCACGTGGGAGCAAGAGAGAGGAGCAAAGTGGGGTAGGGGAACGCACACGCGGGTGAGGTGTGTAAGAGTGAAGAGCTCTGAAGGGATGCTGTCAGTGAGGTCAATGCTGGACAACTCTCTGCACAGCCGGTGTGGGGAGAGGGAGGGAGCCATCCGTGTGTGCAAGGGATGCAGTTTAGATGCATCAAAGGCAGAGTGGAGGGATCGAGCCTCATGGCACAGGCACGAAGCCAGTAGAAGCCAGATTGATACTTTCTCAACCGTTACTTAACTAAAAGGAATCGTGAAAACGGGCGCACAGGGCTGGAGGAGGCTTGGAGAGGACCTGGGAGTACTAGATTTACTTACAGATCAGCAAGGTTGGCTAGCTGAGTGATGGACTGCGTTAAAGAGAAAGACTGGGAGTAGTAAGACTGGTAATATTCACTGTTGCCTCTTATGATTCTGGTGGACCAAGACGTTTTTTGCAAACAGAGGGAAGGGAGAATGGGACGGGAGGGAGAGGGGGATGGGATGGAGGGATAGGGGGCGGGGAGGGAGAGGGGCCGGGAGGGAGAGGGGCCGGGAGGGAGAGGGGCCGGGAGGGAGAGGGGGCCGGGAGGGAGAGGGGCCGGGAGGGAGAGGGGGCCGGGAGGGAGAGGGGGCAGGGGCTTGGCATGGATGAAGTGAGAAGGGGGACACACATGGCATGCATTTGGCAGGCATGATGCCAGACATACATACATGATGCCAGACATACATACATGATGCCAGACATACATACATGATGCCAGACATACATACATGATGCCAGACATACATACATGATGCCAGACATACATACATGATGCCAGACATACATACATGATGCCAGACATACATGATGCCAGACATATATACATGATGCCAGACATACATACATGATGCCAGACATACATACATGATGCCAGACATACATACATGATGCCAGACATACATACATGATGCCAGACATACGTACATGATGCCAGACATACATACATGATGCCAGCCATACATACATGATGCCAGACATACATACATGATGCCAGACATACATACATGATGCCATGGCATGCATTTGGCATGGGAGGAGAGGAGGACACACGAGATAGACTGCTCTACTTGACATACCCCCAGTCGACTGGGAGCCATACGTTGTTTGAGCAGAGCAGAAGCCATATGCTGGGCAAACGAATGCTGAATGAGTTGATGAATATTGAACACACCCTCAAGAAACGCAGAGATTATGCGATGTGGGGTGGGGGAACGCACATGCGGGTGGGGGAACGCACATGCGGGTGGGGGAACGCACATGAGGGTGGGGGAACGCACATGCGGGTGGGGGAACGCACATGCGGGTGAGGTGTGTCAGAGTGATGAGCGCTGGCGGAACGCTGTCAGTGAGCTCAACGTTGGACAACTCTCTGGACAGCCGGTGTGCGGGGGGAGGAAGAGGCATGCGTTTGAGGTGCACCAAAACCAGAGTGGAAGGAGGGAGCCTCATGGTAGAGGCAAGAAATAAACGAAAGTCAAATTCATTTACTCTCAAAAGCAATCACGAATACAGGCGAGCAGGGAGGAAGCGGGCTTGGAGAGGGGTTGGGAATAGTGGGTTTACTTACAGCTCAGCAAGGTTGATTAGCTGACTGATGGGCTCTGAAATAGAAAAAGGCTGGTAACCGTTGTCCCTTATGATTCTAATGTGCCAAGGCATGGTTTTTGCAGCCAGGGGGGAGCGGGGGATGGGAGGGAGAGGGGCAAGGGGTTTGGCATGGAAGAAGTGGGAGGGCGGACACACGTGGCATGCATTTGGCTTGGGAGGAGAGGATGGACACACATGATAGACAGCTCTGCTCCACAGACCCCCGATGGACTGGGTGGGAGCCATGCGATGTTTGAACAGAGTGGAAGCCATGTGCTGGGCAAACGAATGCTGAATAAACTGATGAACGTTAACACACAAACACACCCTCAAGAAGGGACTCGTTGGAGCAAGAGAGAGGAGCAATGTGGGGTAAGGGAACGCACACACGGGTGAGGTCTGTAAGAGTGAAGAGCTCTGAGGGAACGCCGCCATCAGTGAGCCCCACGTTTGACAACTCTCTGCACAGCCGAGGTGGAGGGAGGAAGAGGCGTGCGGTTGACGTGCCCCAAAGCAGAGTGGAAGGTGACGAGAAACATCTCAAGGCCAAACCAACACACCCTCAAGCCAAGCAGTAAGACAATCATAAAAACGGGTGTGCGGGGATGCAGGGGGGTAAGGGAGGGCGAGAGAGAGATGTGTATCCCCCTGCATCCCCGCACACCCGTGGGTTTAGTGTATCCGTGATGCAGCGGGTTTACTTACAGCTCCACAAGGTTGGATAGCTGGCTGATGGATTGTGGAATGGAACAAGGCTGGGCATCGTAGCCGCCCACGACCCTGATGGGTGGAGTGCATCACATGAGCCAATCAAGTTTTTGTGGCCAGGGGACAAGGGAGAGGGGGACGGTAGGGAGAGGAGGCAGGGGCTTGGCTTGGAAAAAGTGGGAGGGGGGGCCACACCTGGCATGCTTTTGGCATGGTGCGGCAGACACACTTGGCATGCATTTGGCATGGTGCAGCAGACACACTTAGCATGCATTTGGCATACCACAGCAGCCATGCATAGCAGGCATTTGAAATAGCACAGCAGCCATGCATAGCAGGCATTTGGCATAGCGCAGCAGCCATGCATAGCAGGCATTTGGCATAGCGCAGCAGCCATGCATAGCAGGCATTTGGGCATAGGAAGAGGGACACACAAGATAGACAGCTTTGCTTGACAGGCCCCCAATCAACTGGGAGCCACCCGCTGGTTGAACAGAGCAGAAGCCATGTGCTGGACAAACACGAGAACGGCTGTAGCAAGCTGGAAGTGTGATGCGATGTGGGGTAAGGGAACGCACATGCGGGTGAGGCGTGGAAGAGTGAAGAGCGCTGAAGGAATGTCGCCGATGAGCCTAACATTTGACAACTCTCTGCACAGCCGGGGTGGAGGAAGGAAGAGGCATGTGCGTGGTCAACAAGTGCGATTGAGGCGCCTCAAGAGCAGAGAAGGAGGAGGGAACCTCATACTACAGGCAAGGAATAAGGCGAAGCCAAACCAACCAATACACTCTCAACCTTCACTAGATAAGAACAATCATGAAAAGGGAAGTGCAGTCCAGGGCTGGAGAGGTTTCATTGAGGGTGAACGATTCACTCACAGCTGAACAAGGTCTGTTAGCTGGCTGAGGGACTCTGGAATACCACCACCAAATAGGCCACAGTTGGTTTTTATTCTTTACGCGCCTCAAAGATTCACTTACAGCTCAACAAGGCCCGTCAGCTGGCTGATGGACTCTGGAATAGCACCAGTTAGGCCATAGTTGGCACTCCGGCTACCAGTGCCTCTTATCACTCTGGTGAACCGAGACGTGTTTTGCACACAGGGGAAGAGAAAGGGAGGCAGGAAGGGAGAGGGGGAAGGTACTTGGCAAGGAATCTTTCGACATAGAAAGGAGGCCGTCCCTAAACCCTAAACCCTGAACACATGGCATGCATTCATTCTCTCTTCTTGGAAGGTTACATTGCATGCCTTGGTTTTCACATAGAGCAGCACTCATACATACAGTTGTCATGATTCGGGAAAGGCATGGCATGACTTTGGCATGGGAGGAGGGACATACATGATCGACAGCTTTGGCCAGATCCCCAACCGACTCGGGTATTTCGCCAGAAACGACATCTTCTAGAACCATCCTGGAGGTAGGAGTAGTAGGAGTGGTAGGAGTATGGAGACACGAGGACTGATAGGAAAGGGTGAGGGCATGGGAACAGGGGTTAACACGGACCGTCACTTGCAGCAGTGCAGCGAGGCACACAGAGGGGTGGCACTCACAACTGCGTGATCATGCCTGCATCATCACAGGTGAGCACTTCAGCGGTCTTGCAGTCATCCCCGGCCTGCCAGCCGCGAGGAGCATCACGTCCATCCAGTTTCCAGGAGGTCCTCAGTTCCTTCAGAAAAGGCACTGCAAGGACCGTTTGGCAGGGACGCGTGTTTGGCAAGGGACGCGTGTTTGGCAAGGGATGCGGTGGTTTTGGCAAGGAGCGCATGTTTGGCATGGAGCGCGTGTTTGGCAAGGAGCGTGTGTTTGACAAGGAGCGTGTGTTTGGCAAGAAGCATGTGTTTGGCAAGGAACACGTGTTTGGCATGGAAGAGCAGTCCGGAGAAAGCAGCGATCCGGAGAAAAGCAGCGGTCCGGAGAAAGCAGCAGTCCGGAGAAACTGGAGATGATTGGTGAGAGTGACCGGTGTTGGCACGAAAGTCCGGCAGGGAAGCATCGATGATTGGCAAAGACGCTCCAGAAGTAGACGACACCCATATACCAGCCCCTAAACGTCCGGAAAGGATTTGAAAACCCAAGGCAAGGCCTCGTGCTGCCCTGTATCCTTACACTGGGAGGCGTGCCATGGAGTGCCGGTGCTGGTGACGCATGCTGCATGGTCTGTCATGTAGGCACTCCCTGCGTCACACGCGCACTTGGCCTGTGAACGATCCCATGTCCCAATTGCAGTACCCGCGGCCGCCACAGGGGTAGCGTGGAGGGAGGCACGAGGCCGCAGGTGGCGGTGCAGTCCGCTCTCTTCTCGCTGCTCCTGTGCGAAGTTGCACGGGCTGGTGAAGCAGTTGGTGTCAACGATCACCTGGCTCTCATTCAGGCTGCATACTCTGGAGGGAAGATCCGTGCCGAACAAGTAGTTCCGATGCACGCCACTGCACAAGGAAGACAGGTAAGGGGGAAAAACAAGGAGCGAGAAAAGAGGGGAGGGGGGGGGGGGGGGGGGGGGGGGGGGGGGAGGGGGAGAGGGGGAAGGAGGCGGGGGAAGATGGGGGAGAGGGGAAGGTGCTGCGAAAGTGATCAAACAGCAGCTTGCCTTCTTCCAGCCTGCACAAGCTGCAGGGAGAGGCTGCTGCGTAAATAGAACCCTTAAACGCGCGGGGACAAGGAAGAAGGGCATGAAGGGAGAAGGGAGGGAGAAGGGGTGGGTGGCAGGAGAGAGAGAGCCTCATGTCGATCGGTTTTCATGAAAAACTTGCTCCGTTTTGTTCCTGAATTCATTGCTGGAGAGAACAGGCAGGCAGGGTGCAGTTGTGAAACGAGTGAAGGCAGAGGGTGAAGTGAGGGTAGGGGGTGAAGTGAGGGTAGGGGGTGAAGTGAGGGTAGGGGATGAAGTGAGGGAAGGGGATGAAGTGAGGGTAGGGGGTGAAGTGAGGGTAGGGGGTGAAGTGAGGGTAGGGGGTGACGTGAGGGTAGGGGATGAAGTGAGGGTAGGGGGTGAAGTGAGGGTAGGGGATGAAGTGAGGGTAGGGGGTGAAGTGAAGGTAGGGGATGAAGTGAGGGTAGGGGATGACGTGAGGGTAGGGGATGAAGTGAAGGTAGGGGGTGAAGTGAGGGTAGGGGGTGAAGTGAGGGTAGGGGATGAAGTGAGGGTAGGGGGTGAAGTGAGGGTAGGGGGTGAAGTGAGGGTAGGGGATGAAGTGAGGGTAGGGGGTGAAGTGAAGGTAGGGGATGAAGTGAGGGTAGGGGGTTGAAGTGAGGGTAGGGGGTGAAGTGAGGGTAGGGGATGAAGTGAGGGTAGGGATGAAGTGAAGGTAGGGGGTGAAGTGAGGGTAGGGGATGAAGTGAGGGTAGGGGATGAAGTGAGGGTCGGGGATGAAGTGAGGGTAGGGGGTGAAGTGAAGGTAGGGGATGAAGTGAGGTAGGGGATGAAAAGGTGCAAAAATACGGCCGTATTGTATTTTATTTTGCGTATAATACGGAATCGTATTTTTCGGTCGTATAAAACGGTTTATAAACGCTAAAAGTGTACCCTTTTTGGTTGGTGCAAAAATACGGCCGTTTAATATGGGCCGTTTTTTTCAACCCACCGAAACATTGGTCGGTCTAGTTTTTGTAGCGAAGTCACGATGTTATCGAGTTGTTCTGTCCTCACCCAGAAACGTCGAGTTCCGGTTTTCACCGAGCCGCGGATTTGACGGATTCACGAGCCGCGCAGACCCAACATTTGGCGAATTCTGAAGGGCCTGTACACCCGTTTCGTCAGTGTCGTTGGGTCTGTTCGCGCATACAAGGCCTAATTTTCGCGCGCATCGCAAGCCTGCCCAAGCTCTGGCGAGTTCGCTGAATTTGTTTCGCCGCCCTATCACGATTCACAAGTCGTCCTTTCCGTTCCCTCCCAGCTAGCCCATCAATTGTTTCACACCTTTGCAGCGAGGCTACGAGGTACAAACACGGAACATCTCCAGCAAGGTGAGCACAATCCAGTAGTTCGTTTTTCTTGGGCGGCATTCCACCCGAACATACTCCTCAGCTAGCGGCGTTTCCTAGCCACGCCATGCCTAGGCCCCCGTCGTCCTTATGGGAGCATGTGACGAAAGTGACGGGTCCGAACGGCCTTGTTACTAGCGCTGTTTGCAAATATTGTGAGTAGGGGAGGTGGAGGAGTAGGGGGGCATTGTGGAGGAGTAGTAGGAGTAAGTTAGACTAGACTGACCTGGAAAGTTTCTTGTTAGCCCGCGTAGCATTCGGTAGTCTGTCATAGCCAAGGTACTGTCAGTTTCTGCATGTCTGCCCTTTTTTTTTTCCAAAGATTTTCGTCTATTAAAAAAACGGCGTATTTTTCAAAAATCTGGCGTATTATACGACCGTATAAAACGGACCGTATAATACGGATACCGTTTTTTTGCACCTTGGGATGAAGTGAGGGTAGGGGATGAAGTGAGGGTAGGGGGTGAATGAGGGTAGGGGATGAAGTGAGGGTAGGGGGTGAAGTGAGGGTAGGGGAAGAAGTGAGGGTAGGGGGTGAAGTGAGGGTAGGGGGTGAGTGAGGGTAGGGGGTGAAGTGAAGGGTAGGGGGTGAAGTGAGGGTAGGGGATGAAGTGAGGGTAGGGGGTGAAGTGAGGGTAGGGGGTGAAGTGAGGTAGGGGTGAAGTGAGGGTAGGGATGAAGTGAAGGTAGGGGGTGAAGTGAGGGTAGGGGGTGAAGTGAGGGTAGGGGATGAAGTGAGGGTAGGGGTGAAGTGAAGGTAGGGGGTGAAGTGAGGGTAGGGGGTGAAGTGAAGGTAGGGGATGAAGTGAGGGTAGGGGTGAAGTGAGGTAGGGGATGAAGTGAGGGTAGGGGTGAAGTGAGGGTAGGGGATGAAGTGAGGTAGGGATGAAGTGAGGGTAGGGGTGAAGTGAGGGTAGGGGGTGAAGTGAGGGTAGGGGATGAAGTGAGGGTAGGGGTGAAGTGAGGGTAGGGGATGAAGTGAGGGTAGGGGGTGAAGTGAGGGTAGGGGTGAAGTGAGGGTAGGGGTGAAGTGAGGCTAGGGGATGAAGTGAGGGGGGGTGAAGTGAGGGTAGGGGATGAAGTGAGGGTAGGGGGTGAAGTGAGGGTAGGGGATGAAGTGAGGTAGGGGGTGAAGTGAGGTAGGGGTGAAGTGAAGGTAGGGGGTGAAGTGAGGGTTGGGGATGAAGTGAGGGTAGGGGGTGAAGTGAGGGTAGGGGGTGAAATGAGGGTAGGGGATGAAGTGAGGGTAGGGGGTGAAGTGAGGGTAGGGGTGAAGTGAGGGTAGGGTGAAGTGAAGGTAGGGGGTGAAGTGAGGGTAGGGGTGAAGTGAAGGTAGGGGGTGAAGTGAGGGTAGGGGATGAAGTGAGGTAGGGGATGAAGTGAGGGTAGGGGATGAAGTGAAGGTAGGGTGAAGTGAGGGTAGGGGGTGAAGTGAGGGTAGGGGGTGAAGTGAGGGTAGGGGTGAAGTGAAGGTAGGGGGTGAAGTGAGGGTAGGGGTGAAGTGAGGTAGGGGTGAAGTGAAGGTAGGGGGTGAAGTGAGGGTAGGGGATGAAGTGAGGGTAGGGGGTGAAGTGAGGGTAGGGGATGAAGTGAGGGTAGGGGATGAAGTGAGGGTAGGGGGTGAAGTGAGGGTAGGGGATGAAGTGAGGGTAGGGGGTGAAGTGAGGGTAGGGGATGAAGTGAGGGTAGGGGGTGAAGTGAGGGTAGGGGATGAAGTGAGGGTAGGGGTGAAGTGAGGGTAGGGGTGAAGTGAGGGTAGGGGGTGAAGTGAGGGTAGGGATGAAGTGAGGTAGGGGTGAAGTGAGGGTAGGGGTGAAGTGAAGGTAGGGTGAAGTGAGGGTAGGGGTGAAGTGAAGGTAGGGGGTGAAGTGAGGGTAGGGGTGAAGTGAGGGTAGGGGTGAAGTGAGGTAGGGGTGAAGTGAAGGGGGTGAAGTGAGGGTAGGGGGTGAAGTGAAGGTAGGGGATGAAGTGAGGGTAGGGGGTGAAGTGAGGGTAGGGGATGAAGTGAGGGTAGGGGGTGAAGTGAGGGTAGGGGATGAAGTGAGGGTAGGGATGAAGTGAGGGTAGGGGGTGAAGTGAGGGTAGGGGGTGAAGTGAGGGTAGGGATGAAGTGAGGGTAGGGGGTGAAGTGAGGGTAGGGGATGAAGTGAGGGTAGGGGTGAAGTGAGGGTAGGGGATGAAGTGAGGGTAGGGGGTGAAGTGAGGGTAGGGATGAGGTGAGGGTAGGGGTGAAGTGAGGGTAGGGGGTGAAGTGAGGGTAGGGGGTGAAGTGAGGGTAGGGGATGAAGTGAGGGTAGGGGTGAAGTGAGGGTAGGGGATGAAGTGAGGGTAGGGGGTGAAGTGAGGTAGGGGATGAAGTGAGGGTAGGGGGTGAAGTGAGGGTAGGGGTGAAGTGAAGGTAGGGGGTGAAGTGAGGGTAGGGGATGAAGTGAGGGTAGGGGTGAAGTGAGGGTAGGGGTGAAATGAGGGTAGGGGATGAAGTGAGGGTAGGGGGTGAAGTGAGGGTAGGGGGTGAAGTGAGGGTAGGGGTGAAGTGAAGGTAGGGGGTGAAGTGAGGGTAGGGGGAAGTGAGGGTAGGGGATGAAGTGAGGGTAGGGGAAGTGAGGGTAGGGATGAGGTGAGGGTAGGGGGTGAAGTGAGGGTAGGGGGTGAAGTGAGGGTAGGGGTGAAGTGAGGGTAGGGGATGAAGTGAGGGTAGGGGGTGAAGTGAGGGTAGGGGATGAAGTGAGGGTAGGGGGTGAAGTGAGGGTAGGGGATGAAGTGAGGGTAGGGGGTGAAGTGAGGGTAGGGGGTGAAGTGAGGGTAGGGGGTGAAGTGAGGGTAGGGGATGAAGTGAGGGTAGGGGGTGAAGTGAGGGTAGGGGGTGAAATGAGGGTAGGGGATGAAGTGAGGGTAGGGGGTGAAGTGAGGGTAGGGGGTGAAGTGAGGGTAGGGGGTGAAGTGAGGTAGGGGGTGAAGTGAGGGTAGGGGTGAAGTGAGGGTAGGGGGTGAAATGAGGGTAGGGGATGAAGTGAGGGTAGGGGGTGAAGTGAGGGTAGGGGTGAAGTGAGGGTAGGGGGAAGTGAAGGTAGGGGTGAAGTGAGGGTAGGGGTGAAGTGAAGGTAGGGGGTGAAGTGAGGGTAGGGGATGAAGTGAGGGTAGGGGATGAAGTGAGGGTAGGGGATGAAGTGAAGGTAGGGATGAAGTGAGGGTAGGGGTGAAGTGAGGGTAGGGGATGAAGTGAGGGTAGGGGGTGAAGTGAGGGTAGGGGATGAAGTGAGGGTAGGGGGTGAAGTGAGGGTAGGGGATGAAGTGAGGGTAGGGGATGAAGTGAGGTAGGGGTGAAGTGAGGGTAGGCGGTGAAGTGAGGGTAGGGGATGAAGTGAGGGTAGGGGGTGAAGTGAGGGTAGGGGATGAAGTGAGGGTAGGGGTGAGTGAGGGTAGGGGATGAAGTGAGGGTAGGGGGTGAAGTGAGGGTAGGGGTGAAGTGAAGGTAGGGGGTGAAGTGAGGGTAGGGGATGAAGTGAGGGTAGGGGGTGAAGTGAGGGTAGGGGGTGAAATGAGGGTAGGGGATGAAGTGAGGGTAGGGGGTGAAGTGAGGGTAGGG